CTGAGTGCTTACCCACTGCACCACCAGGGCTCTTTATATATAGAAGAGTGGTTGGATAAGCCATGGAGCATCCATACAGAGCAAGGAAGAACTCTATGATCTAATGAGGAGTAATTTCCAGACCATATGTTTAAGTAAAAAATGCAAAGTCCAAAAAACAGCTGCAGTGTGCCATCCCTCACATAAGAAAGAATGGATACAAGAAAAGAAATGCATATCTGCTCATTTCTGCTGAAGAAATACAGGAAGAAGAAAACAGAAACCAAAATGGTCCAGTTGCACACTGGGGATGGGAGGGAAAGAAGAGGAGACAAGGGCACCTTGCGTTTGTGTGCTAACGCTGGATACGTTTTCTGTTGCTGTGGAATAAGTTACCACAAACCCAGTGGTTTAAGGTGATACAGATATTATCTCACAGTTCCTGGGGGTCAGGAGGCCGTGTGTGGGCTAGCAGGGTCTCTGCTCAGGGTCTTGCTAGACTGCAGTCAAGGTGTCACTGGGGCTACGATGTCATCTGGGGCTCGGGTCCCCTTCCACACTCTCTGGTTGTTGGCAGGCAGACATATCACTAAGAGCCCGTTCCCTGGCTAGCTGTGACTGAGGACCGCTCTGCGCTTCAAGAGGCTGCCCCACGTCCTCCCAGTATGACAGCTTACTTCTTCAAGGCCACAGGGTCTCTGGGCCTGCTCTGATGGAGTCTCCCGGGAGTGGCTATTGCATCCTATTCGGGGGCCCCGCCCACACTCGAGGGATAGGGTCACATAGAGCAAAGTCACTGCGGTCACCTCAGAATTCCGCCCAGCACTGTGCCCCAAGGACATGAGAAAGGCCTTGCAGGTGACACTGCCACGTTGTCATGCCGACCGTTCCCTATCCCGTTTCTTTGCTGGCCTCACAGTGAAGTCCCCCATCACCCCGATGGGGCCGCCTCTCCCTGCGTTTCCTTCCTGGTGTTCACACCCTGGTATAATCCCCTCCCCTTGAGTGGCTGGCTTCTAACCACAGAATGTGGCAGAGGTGATGGCCATTGCTGTGTGATTATGTCACTGTCACGTAAGAATGTCCTGCCAGCCGACTCGCTCTAGGCCTCCCTCTCCTTGCTGGCTCTGAAGCTGCTACCATGAGTCCTACAGCCACCGCAGGGAAATGAATTCCGTCAAGCAGCCGTGGGAGCCTGCTGGGACCACACGCCAGCTTAGTACCTGCAGCCATCAAGCAATGACACGTCCTTGTCGCCTCTTTCTCAACCACAGACTGTGCTAACATTAGAACTCAGCGTTTGTACAGTAGCAGCAGAACAACGTTGCTTAGGATACAGCTCCCGGGTTCACAGCCAGGGCATTTCATGGAAACAGTCATCCTGGGCCCAGGAAACACTGTTTTCTAGGCAAAACTGTGGTCTGCGGAGACTGGTGTAGGGCCGGGCCTAAGACGCGGGGGACGCTGTGTTATGGGAATTGCTAGATCCACATGGACAGCAGATTTCATTTCTTTGGTCAACTTGCT